ACAGCTCCACCCTCGCTCTGCCATGGTGGTGGCGGTGCGGCGCCGGTACACAACGATACAGAATCCGCGATTGTTGTTCGTTCTGGCGAGCAGACCGCCTCAAATAGCTAAAGGAGGGTAAGCCGAGTTTTTAGCAGCCGGACAAAGTAGGCAAATAAAGTTATGTGAAGGTGTGCTGGCGGTTTCGGTTAGAAGTTTCCGCGACCAAATTTGCAGCCAGGCAAAGCAAGGATCGATGGACGCAATTTTTTAATCAGCAACCGAGCGATTGGAATTGTAGCATTGGATACGACTGGTAGCCAGCACCTAGGCTAGAGATGGCACTTCTGTTGTCCCTGCTGCGGCACCTTGAACTGACTAGACTGCAGTCGATCTAACTGACCATATGACTGTCGTTTGGGGCCAGGTTGGTAAGAAACGTCTGGAGTTTAATATCGGGTCTAGTGTTGTAGTGGACAGAACGAATCCATCGGATAAAAATTAAAGCTACTCCTGATGTTGAAGGCCCAGGAATAAACTAAACGAACCCTGGGGAAATATTCAAGTTCTATGAGGCAGACATCGCCGCAACCTACTTGAGCCATGGCCCTCCGGCCCGCAAAACAGCAGGAAATGCAACGATCTCTCTGCATTCATTGCTAAGTCTTCGACTGACAGTAACCAGTCACGTTAGAAACGCGCGGGCAAAAACGGCCTCTAACGATGGTACTGGCAAGGCAAATTTCAGAATGAGTGTCATAGCCACGAATATAGAATTTTGCATCTGGTGCCTTTGATTTTAGTCTTCATAAGAAACCTGAAAGTTCGGAGGGACCAAATTTTCGTTTTAAGTTTTCTCCGTCGCAATAGGCTATCTACTTACCAAAATTGCAAGAATATATTTTCGAGTTTTCAAAAATTATCCGTCTTCCGGATAAGCAGCTCCGAAGGGTGTAGACAATCGGTCCTCAAAACATTAATCGGTCGGAGCCAACCAAGGGTGTAGCCTGGACTACAAAAAAGACATCATGAGCAACAGCAGTGGTCCCAATCTCGGACTCAGACAAACAATAAAGTCACGACCGTGTACCCGAAGTTTATCAACTACAATGTTCACAAAAAGTGTGACCCTATGTGTTACCCACAAGAGATGACGTATTCTGCAAATTTCTATGCTTGCTCTATAATGATTCCCCTTGACATCATGAGATCAATTAGTAACACAGCTCTCCTTCTTCAAATATTGATGTAAACTCGTTTCGCGTTAAATAAACGTCAGAAAACCAAAAAATGTATCAAAATTAGCTAATAATAGAGCTAGCGAATGATCTAATGAAGGCAAATGGACTTTAAGAAGACAAAGACACGCTAAGACACTTACGGCAACCGCCAAACTGGATACTTGGTCAGTCTTAGTAGACATGAAGGCGTCGATTATTGAGTCACCCAGACAAATGCGTTTCCTTCCGCCACCCATTCTGCGATCCAGTTTTTTACAGGGGGACGGCGGTGATACCTCTGTAATGGCGTCACCATGCGGCTGCTGTTGCTGCTGCTGATGTGTATATTGATCCCCGGCAGTAAATGCAGAGAAATCCGTCGTCAAAATCTACCAGAAAAGGAAAGGAAAGCCTACAGGCTAGACGTGTAGGAAGGCAGAAGTGCTGCAAGTGACATAAGATCAACACCAACGTACATGCAAAGTCTTAGTTAAACGTTAATAGGGCAATAATTCTGTCAAGTACGACTGCTGACGCACTGAGTGTGTTCCGGGACGAAATCTCGGGAGCATAGGGTCTGATTGTCGGTCAATCTGTCGGTTGTCCGGGTCTTCGAACTATGGAATGTCCTTCCATGAATGCTGGTTGCGTTATGCATAAACATCCGAGTCTAACGAATAAGAAGCAACAACAACAGGCCGGAGGCGATGATAAGGCGTCAGATAATGAAATCAAGACATCTACAGCAACGGCACGAAACATCGTGAGCCGTCAATAGGATCTGGTGCAACTGTGGCCAAAGAAACTAAGTCGGACAAACTGGAAGATTTCTGAAGGCGAGAACTGCCGAGCACGCAGTAGCGGTGAGGACAGACGCCAGCTCTCGGATTACAGCTCACTCGATAGGACCCGGCCATATTTTCAAGTTTAACGAGGCCGAAGTTCTCGCAAGATGAAAACCGCGTGAGCTGCCAGCTGTTAGATTCATGGTTCTCAGAGCCATAGTTCATCAACAAGCGGAATGACTTGTCGTTACCATATTCCGTACTCAGACTTTTCCTGAATAAAGGAATCAGTCACTTGGAGAAAGCGCGGGCTATGAACAATTTCGATGACAGTGAGCCTAATTGTCGCATAATTATCACGCTAGCATCCAACACGGACGATGAAATCGCGGCAATTAACGACCAGGACGCGGACCTTTGGCTCAAGCCGGTCGAGGTCGCGGCTTTTCTCCGTCTCCCA